AAATAGTAATTGAATTGAAAGAGGTCAAAGAGAGAGGTCTGATGTTATAAAAGTAAGAGATTTCTGTTGATAGGTGTTGTAGATCAATCACCATTTTCTTGGTTATGTTGAAAGCTTTTACTGTATCATCTTTTGTCACCATACTCTTTCAACCTTTTCTGCTTCCAAATTACAACCATATTTTCTATTTAACTTGTAGTTTATCTAACAAATGATATTGACAATATTTATGCTAATATCGATATCCTTTACTCTACAAGATAGCCAAGTCCAAATCCATTACAGCTTCAGGCTTTACACTTGAACTTGAATAAACATTGTGTTTGATCCAGTTGTAATAGATGGTTCTGCATGCTTGGCCACAAAACTATTTAGTTTACAAGATAATTAATTATCTACCTCAAAAATTCCACCAAATGAAATTTTATAGTAAGAAAAAGGCATTGTTTTATTCACTAGGACCAAGGGAAGTGAATCTGTAGTGCTCTATAGTGAGTGACTGAGTGTGAACTGTGAACCCCCCCCCAAAACACTTGCTATAGCTAGCTCCCTGTGGTTTTTGTGGGCATGTTAAACAAGGTATATCTTTAATTTTCTTGAAACAAAAAAAAAGGTGAAGAGTTTAGATTTCAATTTCTACTTGATGTTTAGGGATCATAGAAAGTTTATTCTTTGTGAAATGTATACAGATACTGTTGTACACATTTGTAAGTGGGTTTTTATAAATCTTGTGCATGGGAAATTATAAAAGAATTATAATGGGTCATGCAAATCAGACTTTGAATTGGGACTGTTGCAGGTAGGAAAATCCAATATTTTAAAATTTTATAATGGTGCGAAATCTGGCACATAACTAATGGAGTTTTAACTTCTAATTTAGTTTTGGTAATATAATCTGGCACTACTAGAAGTTGAAGATCATAAAAAGGTAAGAAAGTAGTTCAAGTTCTTACTTTTCTTCCACTGGAACAAGTTACTGAACTCAAAAGCACAATGCTTAGACCCGGTCACCATTCACTCAATTCTTGTCAAATAGTAAATATGGATTACATTATTTGATTAAGGCAATAAATTTTTAATACCAACTGAACTGAAACCAACATTTGATCATTATAAAAGGTAAAAGAACTTTGCTTTCCTAATGATCCATTCTATATAACCAAGACAAGAATTTATTTAGTACTAACTGAACTGAACCAACTCTTGATTCATTTTAAATGATAAAAGAACTTCGTTTCTTAACGATTCATACTATTTAAACCTAAAAAGGCTTCTCAAACATTTCCACATACCATGCCAAAGTCTCCTTGAGACTTCTAGCAAAACTAAAATATCGATCTCCTAGAAACTTCGAGCCCAAAACTGAAATCCCATTTAGCCCTATGCCCTTCTCTACTTTCATCTATGTTAGCTGCAATCTTCACTTAAGAAGTAAGATTCAACCAAAAAAATCGTGCCTATAGTTTACTATATTACTACTGAGTCACTCTGATGTATATTTCTTACCAAGGTTAGTCCTCGTGACCGAGCGAATCCATTCCATGAGTCCATGATAGTATATGATACTATAATGACATTTAATTTTAACCCATTCAAACAGTGATAGTTAGAGTGCATAACCCTTGCAACATTATCATCATGTTACTACTACCTGAATCTGTAAGAAAGTAAGTATATATATGAAAGCATCTTCCTTTAACTACCACTGGTCCAACCACTGTAAGACAATCTGAAAAGTAAAACTTGTTTTCTATCTTTGCTTATTCCTTAGTATTTTTGTAAATATGCTCTATAACTTTTTTTTGACGAATTACAATAACTGACAGCTCCAACCCTTTCCAGGTCGACTATAAATGGGTTTAGTTTCCCTTTAGCTGCTTTGCTATCCATATGGGATATTACTACTTCCTGTTTCTTCTAATGAATGTGCTTCTCCTGCAAGCAGAAAATTTATTAAATATGGGATATTCTACTTCCTGTTTCTTCTCAAGGAAAAATACTGAAATATGGATAGTTATTCCGGTAAAAAGTAATGAACTACTCAATATTTTTCATTCAATAAGATCAGAGGGCTTTTATATAGATATCAAACCTATAATGAGGTTTATAACACTTTATCATGGGTAGGGTTTTTATATAGATATCAACAGAGACTAATAAACTGATCAACAAATTAACTGAACTATTCTTGCATTGGATAAAATACATGGTTGGATGTGTCATAACTACAACTGTTTTGATATATAGCTTTCCCACTGGGAATATTTAGTCTATTCTCGCTTGCATGTCATGCTAGATCCTCAGGACACTATAGGGGATGAGCATCTGTGCTTAAATCACAATGATCCAATCAAGCCTATATAACAATGCCAAATGACAGGTAGTACAAGATGGTGGTGCATTCTCTGTGTCAGGTCCACTGGCACCAACATGTTATTAGATTAGTACATCAAAACAGATGCTAATAAGCCAACCATCTTTCAAGATGCTATTCTGTTTTGGACTGTTTGGGACTGCATTCTGTGATGGCCTTATATATTACATTTCAAGTCCTTACATGAATACATTGTTCTAACTATTAAATATTTAGATTTCTATTTAGATTGTTTTATTTGCAAAGAATGTGTGTGTGTGTGTGTTTAAAAACTATCCAACCATCTATATTTGTGTGTGTGTATATATGTTATCACCTGCTGTCATTTGCAATGAGAGAGCCACGGAAGTTTTTCTCAAGGTAAGATCAAGACTTTCGTGGCAGCTGTCAGCTGCTGTCCAGCAGCTCTTTTCCGCCTTAAACATCGATTTCATCTTAGAAGTAGTCCAAATCTGCAGAAACTCAAAATTTAAAAGTTGTGGGGCTGTTTGTTACCTTTCCAGATCATCTTGAATAACTTAAATCCGAGCTCGGACGAGTTAGATATGCTTGAAATACCATAGTCTCGTAAAGCTGTCAAAAATCTTCTTTTTGTCCCTTTTTCGCTCCAAAGTGTTCCAAACCTATTGACATCTAAAACGCATCAATGTTGTTCAGTTTTACCATTTTAGTGTGTTAAAGAGGGATGCTTGATGTGAAAATAAGGTAGCTTTTAGCGACGGATCACCTATTGTTGGTAKWTTTTTTGGTTGATATGGATGTTGAACAAAATATTGGTTTCTGCTTTACCCACAATATTATTTCCAATTCTGGTTTATAAGATTTACTTTCTTCTTACAAGCTGAATATATCCAATCATTTGACTGTCAAGCTACTTGATTCACTTCATCATGTCATAGGATTTATATTTCTGATTTATATTGCTTATGCCATAATCTCAGAATTCATATTGGTGAACTGCTACGTATTATATGTATGTATGTATGTATGTATGTATGTATGTGTGTATGTGTGTGTGTGTATATATATATATATATATTCTGGCCTTGTACTATCCCTTGAATTTTTTTTGGTTCATCAGCAAGTGGTTACTTGCCTCAAAGTAGCTGAATCTTTCAACAAGGGATATATATATATTCTGGCCTTGTCATATGAACTAGGTTTATGTTAAAGTTGATGTCCTTTTATCACTTGCAATAGGTAATTAAGGGGATGGCTAGGATGGCTTCTGCTGATATTATGTGTGTTGGTTTGAAAGTTGTGCGAGAAAAGTTCTCTGGCATCATCAGGTAATCATCTTTTTAAGATTTTTGTTTGTTAAGAAGGTTGTAAGCATTGCATTCAACTTCTTTTTGGAGTAATTTAGCGGTTCAGATATGCACAAGTTGAAAAATTCTAGACGAGTCGTGTACATGTTAATTAAATCAAATATGGGTATACTACTTATTTGATGTGTATGTATGCATATATACACTCTCTTTGAAGCATATAATGTGCTTCTAGAGCAACCCACGTGATGAAATTTGCAAATGTAACAAAAGCGGAGTAAGCTGTAAACCTGAACTTTCTTGCAAAAATCCATTTTCGTATGAAAAATACTCTTTCCAACCTATTGTAACAAAATGAAACTGAACTTGGTAAAAGAAGAAACATAAGTACATATAAATCTACAGTTAATTCTGCCAGAAACTAATTCATTGTTTTAGCCCCAATAAACTTAAGACACGATGGTCTGTTCTATATGCCTTGATTATATGCACCTTATTCATGATATGATATATCTCTACATATATAGTATATGCCTTTATTATATGCACCTTATTCATGGTCTGTTCTTAAGACGCCTGCTGCAAGTAAGTTGTATTAAGTCAACTGTTTATAATTCAGTTATATTCTATATGATTTCTTCTTTGTTTGTTTCCATTTCATCCTATACACACACACACACATCTGGCCACAAATCATGTTTTGTCCCTACTGTTTCATATGGCTGTTCTTAACACGTTCTTGATTTATTTATGGTTGTGTGACCTTGCATTATGGCTGTGACCTTCCATCACCATCATTAGCAGTAAAATATGTTTTTATAGCAAAAGGTCTTACCATTGGGTTAAGTCGGTGCATAAATTTATATTTCTCAAACTCTGAAATTTCTATCACAACTTCTGGTAAGATTATTAAATCAATGCATAAATTCTTTGGACTTTTTACCCTTCATCATCAAACCTGCTTACATTAAGCTTTATATATAACCTGCTTCTTTGTACATTTTTTGTCATTATCCTCTCTACAACAGCTGTTTCTTCATGGTAGCCATATTTAGTCTAATGGATTTTATTGTTTGAGTCTAATAAATTCTACAGCAGCTGTTTCTTCATGGTAGCCATGACCGTCCCTGTTCACATGATTGTACATAATTTGTTCACACTGCTTACAACTATGTTCATAATTTGTTCACACATACTTGAACTGTGCCTGCTGTAAAATTCAGTTGTATTAAGTAAATTGTTTTATAATTCAGTTATATTCTATATGAACTGTGCCTGCTGCAAGTAAACTGTTTGATATCAAAAATTATGCACAGTTCCAGGGGCAAGGGTTTAGTATATTTTCTTTGGGGCCACTCTTCATATTTGTGTTGTACGTGTGATCAATGTGAGATCAGGGAACTTCAGACAGACAAGACTCAAAGACTTGAACTGATCATATAACTATATACACCATCTTCAAGTAACAATTTGCAAAACCCTTGAGGGACTTATTCACACATAACACAAGTATGTAAACAGATTTCATCCTTCACAATGAGATCTCTTAATTGTATATGAATATATAAGAACTTTGATTCATCATTTCAATAAAACCAAGTTTGTAAACAGGTTGCTTCCTTTTCATAATTTGGTACATTATTTTCTCTTTGATATTAGTCTTGTTATAAATTATTTGATGCATTCTATCATATCTGTATGACACATGAACTTGGGCATGCCCTTTTTGGGTGGGACTGTCAACACAATAACGGCTATCCACAATTATCATGGCCCGGGAACGTGCCTGAGTTAACTGGTAGCGTTTACGGAAGGGGGACTTTTTGAAATATACTCTCGAGTACATCAATTTATCATTTATACATAGTGCAATAACAATCAAWTTTTTATGATTTCAACAATTTTTGATTAAACAGTTTTTTAGTCCAACAGTTTTACAACTAAACAATATAGTTTGCATACTTTCATGCTTTTCCCCCAGTTTAAATAACTAAAAGCAGTAAAAGTGGGGCCGTGAATTCTCACAAGTTTGCTGATGAATATCCACAATCTTGATGGCGTTTGAAGCACAATACGTCCGCACTATTTTCCTAAACAGTCAGAAATCCAATAATTAGATCACCTATCGGGTCTCGATAAAGATAAAACAAAAATAAACTTAACCCAAATAAGAAGAAACCTCATATCCAAAATATAAATTGATCATACTAGACCCAAATAACCAAGAATATACGAACTCACTCAATTTCAATTATCAAGAACTAATTTCAATCAAACTCTAAAGCAACTAACCCAAAAATTCTACCCAACTAACTAACTAAAATTAGGGTGTTCTCGTTTGAACTCTTCTCCCCCCTCTCTCTCTATCTATCTATCTATACTGTATTATAAAACATTTAACAAAAATTCTTAAAAACATTTTTTATGCATAAAGTATTGTTTATTAATGCATATTATTTAAAATTCAAGATTACAAACAAATTGTACATAAGTACAACTTATTAAAGCTCTATGTTTGAATTCGTGTAACTAAATGCGGATAAACATAATCAAATAGAGGATAAACATCTCATTTTAAAATATAAAAAATTAAAATATAATTAGTATAATTATTGAGTTCTAACATAATACTTAATTATTATCTTTATAAAAAATATTATTAAACCTAAATTAAGTTAATTGGGTACGTTAAATTAAATTATAATAAAAATTTTGAATTAAAAAAAATAAATTGTTAGTCCCGAAGGGAATGACAATAAACAGAAAGTAATTGTAGAATGGGGTTGAATACAATTACACAGACTTTTTCAAATTTTTAATTCTTATTGATTTATATCAAGAATTAATACACACAAAAATACAAAAGATTGTTGCGGAAGATAGGAAAGGAAAACCTAACCTAAACAATCTTACAAGGATAAGAACTTTTACGAACAACACAAAGAGTTCTTGAAAGGAAATGAAGAACATTAAGAATTTATTCGCACACAGGAGAGCAAGGGAGTAGAAGAGAATAGCCGATTGCTTTGAGAATGCACTAAGTAATCTTGCAAAAACCAGTTGTGTGCAAGGGAGATGCACACTGCCTTTTTATACTACTTTCAACATTTAATGCATGGGGACACTTGTCACTTGAGGATAAGAAGGTAGGGGTTGACTTGACCAATGTTGATATCTCATTTTCATCGTACATGGCGTGCATACAACACTGTTCATGCAGAGACAAACTTGGCAGAGATATGATCAGTCTGTAGGAAGATCTCCTTTGGATGGATATGTAGCTTCAAACAGCTACTCACAAATCTTCGGTCCATGAAGATTTTCAATCTTCGGTCTATGATCTTCAATCTTGAGTCCATGGAGATTTTCAATCTTCGGTCCATGATCTTCAATCTTGAGTCCATGAAGATTTTCAATCTTCGGTCCATGATCTTCAATCTTGAGTCCATGAAAATTTTCAATCTTCGGTCTATGAAGATCTTCCTTCAATCGGCTTGTAACTTCAAAATATTTTCAATATGCATTTCAGCTACTTCGGAGTCTTGGTGTGTATATTAGACAGTTGAT